TCAGGGGCAGCGGAGCTGGTCGGGAAGGTGGGAGGGGGACGGGGACGGGACTCAGGCATGTGCAGATCCCGGGGCGCTGTCAGTCCTGTGCACGGTCCGGAGAAGCGCAAGTCAGTCCGGCTGTGTCTCCACCATGCATTCAGGAGCAGGGACAGGGCTTCTCTTTCTCCCCAAAGTATCAGATGCAGCCAGAGCTCCCAGCGCCGATTGCGCCCCGCCTCCCAGCGGTGGGAGGGGGACGGGGACGGGACTCAGGCATGTGCAGATCCCGGGGCGCTGTCAGTCCTGTGCACGGTCCGGAGAAGCGCAAGTCAGTCCGGCTGTGTCTCCACCATGCATTCAGGAGCAGGGACAGGGCTTCTCTTTCTCCCCAAAGTATCAGATGCAGCCAGAGCTCCCAGCGCCGATTGCGCCCCGCCTCCCAGCCATTCCCCCTACCCCCACCAGGTTTCCGTCCGGCGCCCAGCCAGAAATCCAGGAAATACCGGACATTGCACAGATCTGGTATTTTCTGGATTTTTTTACCAGACAGAGGGCCCAAAAACCTCTACCGGACACCTGGCAACCCTATGCAGAGCAGGGGAATAGTGCAGCAGAGAGAGGCACTTCTTGTGCTCTCGCAGCCCATCCTGCCCCTAGAAACCACAGACACACTTCCAGAGGGGCTCCTGTGTGAGGTGGGGAAGGATACCAGTGTTACTGCATGGATGTTCATTTCCTACCACACGGCCTACATATGGTGGGGTCCTTTTCCAGGTGCTATATCCAGGAGATGACCGGAGAGGGGGTGGGGGGAGGGAGAAGAGAGACTGGCCGGGTCCTTGGGCAAGGTGGGGGAGGCTGGCTCCACTCTACCGGACACCTGGCAACCCTATGCAGCACTTAGCAACTGGGTCCAGCAGGGAAGCTCCCTTCTGGCTTGACCAAGAAAACAAGATGGCCACCAGCAAAAAAGCCTAAAGACCTGAGCAAGGGGAAGCAATGCCTTCCCTGGGGGGTCTTAGGGCTCAACATCTCCTCTTCCTATTCCTATTCTGACTCTGCATGTGTAACCACCACCAAGGTGGATTTGAACCTGGGACCTGGGGAGCTGACTAGAGGGAGACTAGAGATGCCCCGGAAGCAGTGACATCCCTTGGCTGCTTAGGTGTAGGCAGGTAGTGCACTCAGTCAGAAGGACAGGTCTGGACCTCATGCTGCACTGTCCATCCCACCCCCTACACAGTCCTAAGAGCAGCCTAGATGAGCATGGCACTTTGACGGCAATTTAAAGGGCCAGGGGCTCTGGCTGCTGCTGCCCAGCTGAGATCTCTGGGTCCTTTTGAATTGCCGGGCTCCGGGGCATGTTCCCCTCCTTCCCGCCCCCCCTCTAGCAGGCCTGGGCCTGGACAATAGTCAGAACTGCTTTTATCTGCCAGCCTAGGCAAGAACTTGATCAGGTCACAAGGTTGCTTTCAGCAGGGATTATATGGCAGTAGGAGGGACACCCTAAACTGGTATAAATAGGCACCACTCCATTGGTTTTACTAAAGCTGTGCCCATTCATACCAGCAGAGGATCTGGTCAGGTTATTTTTGTAGTGTTAACACATCCTAATGGAACATAGAAATTTCCACACCAAGTCAGACCATCCAGTCCAGTCTACTGTCTTCTGCAGATGTGGGGTAATCTGTCCCCCAAGATGATGTTGTCCTAACCTTTAGCAGACAGAAATTGACATAAGCTTTGATGCAAGAGGCTTTAAATGCCTGTGTGTGCATTTAACATGCACATGTGTGTAGCAGAACCTCTCCATAGCCAGTGACCCATAAAGGGAAAGCCCTGAAGAGGACTACTTTGCTACTTCTAGACAAAATTAAATCCACTTAATAATTTTGAGAAAAAAACCTGGCAAAAGTCCCCTAATTTTTCAAGGTCACATGTTATTTTGGCTTTGACAGAAGTAAAATTCACACAGAAATCAGGGGCTACAATGTTGCTCAATCCAAAATAAGGGGGAAATGTAACTTCCACCTTCAAACAGCACTGACTATTATCCCCATTTTACAGATGAGAAAACGAAGGCACAAGCTTCACTGAGGCTACACAGGAAGGCAGATGAAGAGGCAGAAAAAGAACCCAGCTCCATAACTCCTATTCCTTTTCCTTCCCTCTGTCCTTTGATACCCTACAAAATTATTCTACATTTGCATCCCTGCCCTGAAATGCTGCCCAATAGCTGGCATTCTTGTCAGGAAGCAGGATGCAGAAAAAGGCTTATGAAATAAATATTCATGATCCACACAAACAAGTGACCTCCAACTATAACAAGAGAATTATAGGAATAAGAAGACGGGAACTCAGGAAATAAGGATGACAACAATCTGTAATTAGGGGGCAATTATGTCCAGGGCCTAGAGCAGGACATGGCTATGTCTAGACTGCAGAGCTTTTCCAAGGAACACGTCTGCTTTTTCGGAGCAATTTCCGAAAAAGTGGACATGTTCTTTCACCATCCCTGTAATCCTCATTGTATGAGGAAGAAGGGATGAGCCGAAAGAGGAGGTTGTTCTGGAATTTGGCCCTATGTAGACGGGCCACATTTCAGAAAAGCCTCTTTCGAAAGAAAAGCGGAAAAAGATACGCAAAGTGCGCTTTGCAATTTGCATATCTTTTTCTGACTTTTCTTTGCAGTCTAGACATAGCCTCATAGTCAGAAGACTAAGGATCAGATTGTCAAAAGAGTTCAACTTCCAGTTGGGCACTGACCTAAGTGAAGGTGTTGGGTGCTTAGCACATACAATTCTGGCCACCTCATTTAGGCGCCTAAATGGGATCTGTTGAGCACCTGGAAAATCTTGTGCCAGGCCCTGATCTTGTAAAGAGTTCTGTGTATGCAGACCCATGTGGAAGTTATTGGAAGACTGGAATCCTAGTTTTTTGGTTCCACCTTTGTCATAGACTTTGCTGTCACTTAATCTTTCTGTGCCTCAGTTTCCCCATTGCTATAACATGTATACAGTTATTTACCTTCCTCTGTGAAGTACTTAGGAACCATTGCTTGAAAGATGCTTAGACAATAAAAGGTTTTCTGTACAGCACACGTCAATGGGCTGAAAACAAATGATTATGTGAGGACTGGCATTTCCCCAGCAATAACTGCGAGAAAGAGATGGAGCTGTTAAAATGAAAACAGGAGGAGGATCACAAGCTGTCAATCTCCATAAGTAAATACTCATTTGCTGTGGTTCTTTAAAAGAGAAAAATTTTGAAAGCTACAATGTCTTTGTTTTAAAGGCAGCCTCTAAATATTTACACTGCAAAAACTGGACTGAAATGCGGAAAATGGGCTTAAAAATCCCCAGAACTTTTGTCAGAGAAACAGACTGTGAAATACTTAGAGGGAAAAGAAGATTTATTTGGGGAAGGAGAGGGAAAAGAGGTAGGAATTTTCCATGCTATTGTAAAACATCAGCTCAAATTGTATGATCTCCACAGCCAGTGAATTGCAAAGCTTCAATCAGCTGCCTTTTTTTCTTTTCTGTAAGGGGTGGGGGGGAGAGAGACAGAACTGTTTCACCAACTTCTGTTGACTGTTCCTTTTTTTCTCCTGATTGAAATGTGTTGTTAAACAAGATCCCACATAATCTCAGTAGAGGGTTTCTGTCTCTCCTCTCTCTCTCTCTCCTTCTGGGAAACTGCGATCAGTGCCATCGGCATTTGATTATTTGCAAACTCCTTTTGCTTTTTTTCCCCTCTCCCCCTCTCTGTCTCTGTCTCGCTCTCGTTCTCGCCTCCAATGCAACTTTTGCAGAAACCCCCAACACACACAGACATGTTGAGCTGAGAGCTAGGGGGATCGGCCGAGTCCCCCCTCCCCGACCCCAAAGTCCCAAATCTGGGGGGGGCTCTGACCACCTCCCCCACCCTTGACTTGTCCACTGTGCATCGACCTCCCCATACACACGCACCTTTTTCACTCCCTGCTCCTTTTTTTGGTGTTGTTTTTGTTAGATGGACAGGATCAAGGTTGGATTTTTCTGTCTCTCCCCCGATGAAGTGAGGCGGTGATGCAGGAGGCTGGCAGCTTCGACTATACGGAGAGACACAGGCTCAAGATGGCAGATTTGTATTGAGTTTGGGGGGCTGAGATCTCGCTTCATATTTTTAATGTTTTAATATTTTTTTGCCATGAATAACACATCATTGCACCGATGGCCCCTATGTACGAAGGTAAGGCAGCTCTGTGTCTTTTATTTCTTTTCACCCCTCCTTATCCCTGGGCTTTGGCCATCTCCAGGCACCCCTACACCTCTCACCAAAAAAGAAAAAAAAAGGTGTGTGGGGGGGAGAGAAAATCAGCACAGCTTTGAGAACACTGTAGTGGATTTTTTGATGAATGGCTCTGCCTTGTTTAAAATTACTATTCTTCCTATTCGTATGAATGTTGATTTTAATTTACTCTCCATGTCTTCCTCCCCTCCACCTCTGCTGCTCTGTAAAATCCCTCTCCCCCTTTTATTTTATTTTATTTTATTTTGATCGTTTCGGTCCGTGATCACGGAGGGGATGGGTGGAAAAGTCCATTTCACTGCCGAGCCGAACAATGAAGATTGGCTAAGATTGCCCTGTAATTGCTCTCTGTGTGTATGTGTGTGAGAGAGAAATGTAGTTTAAATGCAAGAGCTTGACCCCCTATTCCTTTAGCCTGTACTCCAGAAGGCATTTGCTTTGGTGTTTTGCTGGTCCACTCTATTGTAGGGTATAAACACAAAAGCATATCTAGGCAGATATGTCAGGAAAAACATCTAGCAGCAGTCTGTCAGTTCTTTCAGTTTCTAGTTAAATCCAAGCGGGGATTGCAGTGAAAATTGAAAGTGAACTTATTTTTTCCCCAGTTTTTAAATCTCTCTCTCTCTCCGTATATATTGTGGGCGCACGTTTAAAAATAAATCCGGCTTCATTTAAATCACCTAGCGTTGTAGTTCTTTCCTTTCTTTCCGTCCCCCCTTCTGGTTGAGAACTGGTGAAAGAGCATTTATAGAAACCCCTCAGTTGATGTGGTTTTATGCAGAAATATCTTGACGATCGATTTATATAGCACGGGAGATTTTAATGTCTGGCCAGGGAAGAGGCATGCGGGAAGCAATACTTTATCTGTAGTGTGTCTGATAAAACTTATCTGAGAAGAAAATCTAGTATTAGTTGGAGGGTTCTAAATGAACTAGTTTTCCTGGCCGTGTAAAGTTCCCCATGTGCCTATTGATGCCTAGGATGCTTCGGGGTGGTTTAAAATGGCATGGCCTGGAAATAGTTTGAACTCTAAAAAGAAACAAAGGGGATTGTTTGTACGCAACACAAAATAAGTGCTATTCCAGTCCTTTCTTCCACGATCCTGAAGAGCATAGGCTTAATGTCGCCATTATTTCCCCCCTGCAATTTGAGTTAATGAAAGGCAAATGCAACAGATCTGTTAAAAGAGAGAGAGAGGGAGAGCTCTGAGGGACATGTATTATTAAACTGTAGCTGTAAAAAGGGGCTACAGTCAGTGCTGGAACTGTCTGGGGTGTTGAAATGAAATGAAATAATGTTTCTCTTTAAACACCTCCCGAACTCGCCCTCTGCTGGACGTTTAGGGTCTGGTTGAGAAAAGAAACTTGTCACTGAATGAAGAATTGTTAGGAGAGGGCTTTGCCCTTCCAAGGGAAAAGAAGCGTCTCGGTTGGGGTATATCTTTCTTCGGAAAGGTGCTGGTTCCTGGCTGGATGGGATGCTTGTGGTGGCAGGGATGCAAACTGAAAAGGCTAGCGGCAGATAGGTGCCCACCCTACTCTGGCATTGCCCCTCCATCCTCACCTGCCTGAGTCCCTGCTCTTCTGGTCCTGGGTTCCAGACTTCCTAGCTGTGTACCGGCATCTGAATCTTTACCAGTCCCATTTCCCTGCTAGCCTAGATTTGGGGCCTCACAGAAGGTAGCACTGCCAGTGTGTTTTAATCCTGACCAAATCAGTTCCCTGCTACGACAGTGCTGGGCTGCTTACAAGCTAGTCCAATGCACCCCGGGCCTGTCTTGCATCACCCTGCCTGCTGTCCCTGCCTGGAGCCTCTCTGCAACAGAGTCTAATAATCAGGTTGGGTTATGCAGTGATTTTCATGATGTGAACTAAAATCCACTGTGGGGTAGGATGAATCTACCGAGATCATGTTCGTTTATGATCACCTTCAGCTCTCCAGAGGAGGGACATCTCACTTCATGTCCCACTCACTCCCTTGATTTGTCAATATAATGGTGAACAGTGTCCATAGAGTAGAGTGAACATGATTTTCACCTTATGTCCTTTGAAGGAAACTGTGCTCATTTCTGTAAGCTTTTTTCTGCGAAAGGACATGGCACCACCCCCAATTGGGACACGTTATAGGAAGAAAGAGTCTAATGGACATCAGCCTGGTGGAAGCCAACATACGGGATTCTTTTCTAGAGTCCTGGTGAGAGATGGAGGCTTTTAGGGGGAGTGGAGCAGTTACTGCACTCTCACTTCAGCTTCTTCAAGGCACTTGGGTGACTGAAAAAACCCGACAACTTATAACGAAGGCCTGTGTATATATATCAGTTTTGCAACAGGGAAGGTCCTACAGCAAAACTTTGCAGCCTGCTAAGATATCCCAGTCCTTAAAGTGGGCAACCCTGCAACATTCCAACTCTCTGTAACCAAGGTAAGGTCTAAATGGGGTTGGAGTGCAGGGGAAATGGTTAAATCCTGGATAGTCTGTCCTCCCTAATAGTGAAGAGAGCTCTTCTCAGTTCCTTGACACATTATAGGGTATGGATGGAAACCTGTATTTACTTGCATGTGGAATGTGAATCTAATCTTAAAAGGTGAGTGTGTGGTTCTGATCTTTCCTTCCAGAGTTGATAGTTTCCATATCACAGGCTCTCTCGAGCTTTCCTCTAGCACATCAGGTACACTTAGGGCACTGGTGGAAGTACCATAGAGGAGGTGTGATCAATGTGACAGTTCCTCTTGAATCACTATTGTAACACACATACCCCTTGCTCACACCCCAGGTCACCACCAGCACCAAAAGGTGAGAAGAGGTCTTTCCCAGCAGTAGGGGTTTGAAAGCACAGGCTTATTATTTTTTTTTTTACAACGTGTTGTTAGAAAATGTGACATCTTAAAGGATTTATTCAACCATTCCATGGAATCTTTGTTTAAATGACCTACAAAGACCTGGATACTTAGGTGAATGCTGTGCATGATAGTACTAAACTGCTGACCCAAGTAGCAGCTCTTGTGAGCCATACGGTGAATAATAAATAAATACAAAGGATGAAATCCTGACCCAAGCGACATTGAGGAGAGCTTTGCCATTGACTTCAGTAGGGTCAGGATTTCTCCTGCCACGTTCCCATTTTCCAGTTTTTCCTATTCTTTTTTCCTTTTATAACTGAAAGGGTAAAATACAAGAAATAAAATAGATTGAGCAGAATAAAAAAAGAAAGCAACTAAAGCTAACATTCGGCATCTGGGTTGAGTTTGTGTCGCTTTAATCTTAATCGAGATTGGAGAACCTATGGAAGAATCGCTGGGTGATTTTCGGTGCCCTGTGTTAGGCAAGAACTGAGACTCAGACTTGGATAGTTTTGAAGCTGGTGTAAGCTCCTGTAGTTCCCCTGGCTTTAGAGGCGCTCTCTCGAGTCACACCAGGTGAGCAACTGGCCCCATGACTCTACTCTGACGGAGGATGCCCTCTCACCCTATATGTACCTTACTGCCTGGCTCAATTGTGATACGCTTGCTGGGTGAAATTCTCCCCTCTGCAGAGGTCAACCACAAAGCCTGTGCACTACTGATGACCCACTCACATATTTTAAGGGTGCACAAGTTGGACTTCAATGGTGCGCAGACTTAGTGCAGCCTTCTGCATAGAAGTGAATGTCATCCTATCCTATCCTGGATGGCTCACCAGCACCTGAGATTGGCAGCCTTCAGAACACAGCATAAAGTGGTGTTCATTTGCTTTATCCTTTATTTTTTGAATGAGTAATTGCCTTCTGTTTTGGTTTTATGCTGTTTTGCTTTGCTTATTACTTATCTTTGACAACTTCGTTGCAATTTGCAGTGTATTATTAGCATCAGTGTCAGTAGTTTTACATGTGGGTGGCTTATAGAACTTTCTGTAAATTCTACCTAGCCATGCTGGGGACATTGATGAGGCTTTCTGCTGTCAGGAGGGTTTGCCCGCAAGGAGCTCCTTGCAGTATCAGGTTGTTGGAGGCATGAAATTCTGACCCTGAACAGGCCAAAGGTCAGATCCCATTTCACTGGCTAGTGTTTTCCCAGGGCTTCTGGGACAGGCATTTTACAGAGGGAAAAATGTCATTATTTTTCATCAATCAATCACTGTGAAGGGTGTTGCCCCAAAATTCTGCACATCAAGTTAATCATTGAACAGCAGTGCTTCCTGTTTATGAGGTAATAACCATCACCTGAGCTAAATCAACACAGGGACCAAAGGCTCAAGTTTTTATTAGCTCAAGAGATGGTGGTTTCCAGGATAACAGGAAACCCCCTCCAGTTTTAATTGCTGTTGTCATCTACTGAAATGTCTGATGACTAAATATTATTGAGACATAATGGGTGAAAGATGCTGTTTTATTGTTTGTGTTGAGACTGTTACACTTCAGGATGAGGTAGCATAGACCAGTGGTCAGAGCAGGTGTCTGGCGAGCTGGTTCAGTGTCAATGTGTCTACACTGCAGGGCTTAACTCGAAATAGGCAACACAAATTGAGCTACGTCTATTGCGTAGCTTATTTCGAAAAAGGGAGCATCAACATAGCACTTATTTCAAAAAAGAGCACTCTTCCTCCGACTTCCCTTATTCGACTATGTCTATCAGAAAAACTCTGCTGCGTCCAGGAAACGCGTCTGCTCTTCCACTTTTTTTTGCGGAAGAGAGACGCGCTCTTTCAGAAGCCCTGTCTTCCTCCTCCCACGAGGAAGAAGGGCTCTTCTGAAAGAGAAGGTTTTTCTGAAATTTGGCCCAGTGTAGACAAGCCAAATTTCAGAAAAGCCTCTTCTGAAAAAACTATTGGAAAAAAATATGCAATTTGCGGAGCGCAATGTGCGTACCTTTTTCCAATAGATCAGTCTAGTGTAGACATAGCCTTTCTCGTACAATGAGGTTACAGGAGTCGGGGTAAGAAGTCCTCCAGCTTGACAGTATTTTGACACTATTTTGAAATAACTGCCTGCTGTGTAGACGCGGATTAAGTTATTTCGGAATAGAGCTAGTTATTTTGAAATAGTGTTGCAGTGTAGACGTAACTTGTGTGACCTTAGCCCTGACTGATAAGAGTAGGATTTTCTAGAAGCAGCTGGTGTTGGCCTTCCTCGGCTCGCACTGAAATCTATAGGTTTCTGTGCAACAGAGTTAGGCCAGGACTGCAGAGTTTTGAAAATTCCACCCTTAATCTCTATCTCTTTGGCCTTCATTCAGGAACGTAAAGGCTGGGGACAGTGTGGGCAGAAAGACAATGTGTTCAGAGAGGAACAGCCCGGCAGAATGCAGGAATGTGCATACTGGCCACACTTCAGGCCTGCGCTGGCTCATGCATAGGCTTACACATCAGTTTAATTAACAGAAGTGACAAACCCCATTGGCTTCATTTGAGCTCCACATCTTGCATGTACCGAGTTAAGCACATCCATAAGGGTGGGCGGCATCAGGCAAACATTTGAAACTCATGGGCAGGTAGATGAAGAGGGGCTTAGGGGCCTAAAGGCTGACCTTCGGCAAATCACCATCCCGCCCCGTACCTCAGTTTCCCCATCTTTAAAATGGGGATAAAGGTAGCGATCTCCTTTGCAGAGCTTTTTGAGATCCATGGATTTAAAAAAGCTATATAAGAGCTAGGCATGATTATCATTCAGTGTTTTAGGCATCTCAGTCGTCGGCCTGATTTTCAGAGGTTTTAATATCTGCAACCCTAATTAACCCCCTTGGGTATTTCGAATGCTCACCACTTCTGCAAATTAGGTCACTTACTTGGAGGCTAAGCTTGGATGGATGTGCCTACTTTTCGTTACCCAAGTTGATAAGTTTGGGCCACTGTGTGGCATTGGTTTTCAACCTTTGGTGTATGGTAGCTGTGAAGAACATCTCTGGTGGTCTCTCCAAAGTAAAGGTTTCTGAGAGGCAAGCCATTGGAGGATTGGGGTGTTGGGAGTGGAAATGAATCCTTGTGAGTGTCTCTCTCACAAGGTGGTCTCCCCACATGAGAAATTTGCAGAGTTCCCCACTCTATGATTACTGAAATCTGTAGTTCAGGTGTGAATACAGCATGTCTGAGTTCAGACTGGCAGAGACAGACTATTCCACTTTTGGTTGTAGTAGCATGGACCAATGGTAAGAGCAGGTGTCTGGCAAGCGGGTTCAGTGTGTGACCTTGGTCCTGACTGTTAGAGCAGGATTTTCCAAAAGCTCCCAGTGTTGGCCTTCCTCTGCTCCCATTGAAATCAATAGGTTTCTGTTCAGTAGAATTAGGCCAGGACTGCCGTGTTTTGAAAATTCCAACCTTTTAATCTCTATCTCTATGACCTAGTCCCATTGACCTAGGCTTTGTGCCTTAATCAGTCCATTTGTAAATGGACCCATGCATCTTTACTAAGGAATTTGCATACTATAAAGGCCTTGATTAGCCTAAGGGTGGGGGAGTGCGCCAGGTCTCCTCCTGCTGTGGGGCCTAGAGGGAACCCCAGCTGTTTTAAAACAGCTGGTGATTCTCTCTGTGGGGGAAGACTTTATGTGCTCCTCCACCCCCACGCCAATAAGGGTCTGTGGGCAGGGGAGTATGAGAAGTCTCCTGGCCCCGCCCCTTCCACTCGCCCCATTTCAGAAATTTGTGAAGTGACCCCCCTTTAAAAAATTAGTGCCCACCCCTGCTCTAATGGAAGGTTTACATCCTGTATCCACCTCTTTATTAAAGACCAGTGCAGCTGCAAACATTCTTGCATAACAAAAAGAGAGAAGTAAAGCCTAGTTAGAAAAAAGGGCCTTGCTACCTAGTTATAGACCCAAATATGGATTTAGAAGCCTAATTTAGGCACCCTCTTCTGAAACTGTGGGCCTAAATGTTATAGTGATTATTTCTTCTTTTTCTTTCTAAAAATCTGCATTCGGATGCAAATGATAACTTTCACAAGCTTCTCAGTTTGTGTGTGTGTATAGGGTAGGAAAGGAGGGCATACTGTTTCCTGTCAGCACTTACAGCTGACTGGTGAAGAGAGTGCGCCCGATTCTCCTTCACATACACTGGGGTAAGGCCCCGATTCATGAATGCTCTTGAGCATGTGTTTAAGTGCCATTTCCAAATATGGGTACTTTTCTGAATTGGGGCCTGAACTAAGAGTAACGCATTAAGGCTAGTGAAGTCACACTGGAGGAGATGAGCAGAGAGAATCATTCCCAGCATTCCAACAGCATGGTGTGAGGGACATTTCTGGATCCACATTTATAACTTTAAAGAATCAAAAGTCAGAGTTTAAAAAGAATAAACCTTACTGTTTACCTGTATAATAATAATAAAAATGAGCAGTCCTGTGGCACCTTAGAGACTAACAAAAATATATATATAGTATCATGAGTGTTTGTGGGCAAAACCCACTTCTTCAGATGAGCTGGAGAAGTGGGTTTTGGCCATGAAATGTCATGAAGCTATATATATTTTTGTTAGTCACTAAGGTGCCAAGGACTGTTCATTATTTTTAAAGTTACAGACTAACATAGCTACCCCTCTGAGACTGTACAATAATAGTAACTAATAATACATTCACACTGTGCATTTGTGTAGTTCTTTTTACATGTTCAAAGTATTTTAATTCACACTGTATGGTTGTGTAGTTCTGTACGTGTTCAAAGTATTTTGTAAACTGAGGCTGATGAATCCAGGTGAATTTCAAGCTAATGAAGAAATATAAGCCCTGCAGAATTAACTCCTCTAGTTATCTACAATATGGTACAAAACAGGCAGCAGCAATATGAGAGGCTCTACACCCAAGCCTCTCCCATCAGTTCTGGGCTTGATTCGGATCTCACTTACACCAGGTGTAAATCTGCAGTAATGCTACTGAAACCAATGGAGTCACAGGCGTAACACTGGTGTGAGTTTAGAATAAGGCGCCTCACACTGAATTCCAAAGTCAATGGGAGTTTTACTGAGTTGTGAATCACAGCATTTAGCCCTATATTTTTAAGATCTCTCCAGCAGTTTGATAATGTAGGAGTGTCTGTTGGGTTGCAAAGAACAGGTCGTTTGATTGAGAACTGCTTTTAATGACGTCCCTTTCTCCTCTCTGGTTGTTTTCCAGTGTCTGTATTGATATCTGCCTCTAGAAGGATAAAGGGTAAAGAGATCACTTAAGGCTGCCACATTTAAAATGTGATAAAATAGTCACACCACAAGGTGATAATGTTCTGTCAGACCCAATGATATTCCAATATACTTGGCAAGTCCAGGAAAAGCAGGAGGGCAACAATGTTTCCTGTTCGTTGCAGTCTTTAAGCTTAAAGGAATTAGCAAGGTTTGTTCATCTGGAATAACATTTCCGTAACAAGGTAGCATAGCTCCTCCTCTTTGAACCTTTCTAAAGACTGACAGCTTTCTCAGGACATACTGGCTGTGCTTAAAGGGACATGCCAAAATTTCATCCACAATGAAAATATTGCATTCTCCTGAACCTAGAAAACTAGAGAAAGGCAAATATGTTCATGGAAAATAGGAATCAAACCTTGATTCAAAACTTGAACAAAGTTCATTTAGCAACTTCCCCGTCCCCTTTTTAAAATTTTTTTTTGTACTTCCAGGCACTTCCTGGCTCTAGCTGGGAATGAAAGCAAAAGGATGCTATTGCATGAGAAATTCCATTCTTGGGAAATTCCCAATCCAGTGCCTCATGATTGAGAAGTTCATATAATCTGGGTGAATTTTGGTGAAGTATGAGAATTTTTGGAGGCTTGGCTGATCTGATTGTTCACACTGACATTTTTGTGGGTCCCCCATCACTACCATCAGCCCTTCTGAATCCAGGGCTTCAACACAGAAGCAATTCAAGCAGGACCCATTGGAAGACTTCAGCAATCCCTGAGTGCTGAATTTTTCTGCCATCATATGTCTGCACATGATGCAGCTATCACATCATTTCTCGTCTCCATCTGTCTGCCCCATTTTCATTACCAAGTGATTGAAATGTCCAAAAATCTAGAGGTGCATCCACTGTGTGTTAGATGTGCATGCCTTGAAAACTGGATGGTTTAGGACAGCATAGGTCCCAAAATTATTTTTTTCTCTAATATATATGTGTTTTCCATTGTATCAATGAGTCTCTGGGTTTTTTTTTTATTATTTACCTAGGAGGACATAAAAGGGTTCTTCTTGACTATTTTAGGTGAATGCATTTATTGTTATTGGATTTAATCCAATTGTTTTTTCATAGATTCCAAGGCTAGAAAGGACCACTGTGGTCCTCTAATCTGATTTCCTGTAAAACACAGACAACAGAACCCCCCCCCCCCAAAATAATTCCTAGTGTAGATCTTTTAGAAAAACAGCTAATCTTGATTTAAAAATTGTCAGTAATGGAGAGTCCACCACATGCCCCTTGGTAAATTGTTCCAATGGTTAATTACTCCAATTCTTTAAAATGTACGCCTTATTTCCAATCCACATTTGTTTAGCTTTAACTTCTAGATATTGCATCATGTTATCCTTTTCTCTGCTAGAGTGTAGAACTTACCAACTATTTGTTCCCTATGTTGATACCTATAGACCGTAACCAAGTCATCCCTTTCCCCTGTTCTTTGCTAAACTAAACAGACCAAGCTCCTTGAGTCTATCATTCTGAGGCATGTTTTCTAATCCTTTAATCCAGTGATACTCAGAGTGAGGCACATGAGCTGTAAGTGGCTCGTTAATGTATCCCCCGTGGCTCTTTGCAGGACATGATATTAAAGCACTATGTGATTTATTTATTAACCAATCTTAAGTTATTAACCAAGCAGGTTACTATGGTATTAACCAATTGCAGCTAATAAAATAATAATACTTAATAATTTTGCTGTGAGAATATATATATTTCCCCTCTCATACTGTTTAAATATGAGAATATATTAATATAGTAAATGGTAAATGCATTCACACTGTTGTGGCTCTTGGATAATGCTGATTGCTAATTTGGCTTCTGAGTCACTGATATCTGAGTATCACTGCTTTAATCATTCTCAAGGCTCTTTTCTGAACCCTCTCCAATTTATCAACATCCTTCTTGAATTGTGGGCATTGGAACTGGACACAGTTTTCCAGCAGCAGTCACACCAGTGCCAAATACAGAGATGAAATAACCCATCTATTTATGATTCTCCAGTTTACCTGTCCAAGAATTGCATTTGCCATTTTGGCCCTCACACTGGGAGCTCATGCTCAGTGTATTGTCCACCATTAGCCTCCAATCTTTTTTTAGTCACAGCTTCTCAGGATAGAGCCTAGAAGTATGGCCTACATTCTTTGTTTCTAGATACACCCATTTACATTTGGCCATAGTAAAATAAATGGTAGATTGCATTCCGCTTGCTCCTAGCAATCCCAATTGTTCTTTATCAGTGCCTAGTCAGCTTCATTATTGATCCATGCCCCCAATTTTTATGTCATTTGTAAACTTTATCTGTAATGATTTCATGTTTTCTTCCTGGTCATTAATAAAAATGTTAAATAGCATAGGGCCATGAGCCAATCCCTACAACTCATCACTAAAAACACACTATTTTGATGATTCCTTGTTTACAGTTACATTTTGAGACCAATCATTTTGCCAGCTTTTAATCCGTTTAATGTTATCCATGTTAATTTTATATCTTTCTAGCTTTTTAGTCAAAGTCAAATGCCTTACAAACATAAGTATGTTAAATCAACACTATACCATTATCAATCAAACTTGTAATCTCATACAAAAATCAAGTTAGTTTGACAGGATCTATTTTCCATACAGCCATGTTGATTTCCATTAATTATATTTTCCTCCTTTAATTCTTTATTAATCGAGTCTCATATCAGCTGCTCCATTATTTTGCCCAGGATCAATGTCAGACTGCCAGGTCTATAATTTCCCAGTCATTCAATTTATCCTTTTAAAACATTGGCACAATGTTAGCTTTCTTCCAGACTTCTGGAACTTCCCTGGTGTTTCAAGACTTATTGAAAATCAACGTTAATGGTCCAGTGAGCTCCTTGGACAGCTTTTTAAAAAAAGTTATCTGGACCTGCTGAGTTTAAAATGTCCAACTTTAGTAACTTTAGTAACTGCTGTTTAAAATCCTCCTGAGATACTAGTGGACTAGAAAGAATGTTATCATATAATATGAATATATCACTTATTTTATTCTCCAAAATACAGAACATAACTATTTATTGAACATTTCTGCCTTTTCTGCATTATTATTGATAATTGTACCATTTCTACATAGTAAAGGATCATTGTCAGGCTTCTTTTTGTTCCTAATATACTTTAAAAACTCCTTATTGTCCTTAACACTGTTGGACATAGATTTCTCTGTGTGTCTTTTGCTTCCCTTATCAATTTTTTACAATTCCCACCTTATTACTTATATTCATTACTGTCAGCTTATTCCTTCCTTCCTTCCTTCCCTTCTTCCGACCAGTGTGGCCTTCTTTCTCAATTGTGGAATTGTGGCCAAGTTCTTAAACAATTTCTGATTATCATTTACATTTTTTTCTGTTTAAATTCTTCCTCCCAGATGACTGACTCAGTGTTTTTACCTTAGTGAGATTGGCCCTTTTAAAGCATCAAGTAGATATATCACTGGTCTGGACTATATTCTGCTTGCAGATTGATTGGTTTAAACTAGAGGAAATGGTGGAGTCCCTGGAATTTTGAAGACTTTAAGTTAAGATTTGAGGACTTCAGTAACCCAACAAGAGGTTATAGGCCCATTACAGGGATGAGTGGGTGAGATTCTTTGGCAGTGATTTGCTGAAGGTCAGACTAGATTATCATGGTGGTCTCTTCTTGTCTGAGGTCTATGAATCACTTGTTCCTTAGTTACTATTAATTTCTAGTTCTGTGATCAGTTCCCCTTAATTAGTCAAGGAAAGGTCTAATATAGAATCCCCTGTGTTAGCTGAAACACTTTTTGAATTAGGAAAGTCTCATCTATACTATTAAAAAAGGATGTTTTAGTGCTGGGTGCATGAGGTCCCCAGGATATGTCCCTCATATTTAAGATTCTCAGGATAGCAGGCTTTTTCCTACATGTTATAGATATGTGTCAAAGGAGCGAGTTATCCTGTTCCCTAGTGTGTCTTGGCACCAACTAGTACCCGGTCTTGTGATTTATCTGTTAGGTCGTTTACCCAAAACTATTCAAGAGCTTTTTCTTCTGTTACCCGTGACTTGGAAACAAATTGAGAGCTTTTCTATTTATTTCTGATTAAAGATTAAAAGGACCCATAAAACTGCAGCCAACCAACAAGGCCCCTACTGATCAGCCATATTGTTAAAGGTGCATTACACCAGCACCTTTGTGGGGAGTTCTGGAACTCACACCATGTAGTGGTGTGAGGGATATCCAGCCTCCAATAGTGAGGCAGAGAGAATATCCTACACAAGAATACTTGCAGTGCATTTCTGAGAACAACTAGTTTTTCAAAGTGCTTAAACAGCTTTGTGCAGATGCCTTTTGCTTCTTGGGTCAAAAACTATGAGCAGCTTTTTATTTTGAAAATTATGGGTTAAATTCTAGTCCCAGTTACAGCAGCATAATGCCAGTGGTTTGTTTATTTACCATTTCACTTTTGTTGCTTCTGAAATGTCTCCTATTCAGCAGCTGTTTGTAGGTGTCTTTTCTCTCTCTCATCATAGTGTACCTTTTCTTCCTGTTCAGGGCATCCATAATCCTTTCTTTGTGACATCATAGTTGTTTCCGTAGCAACAGATTATGATACTAGAGCACAAGATAATGTCAAACAGGAGGCTGAAGAGATAAATTATGGTGTGTGCATGTGCGTGCGTGCGCGCGCGCTTGATTATATATTCTGAAATTATGGTGTGTGCATGTGCGTGCGCGCGCGCTTGATTATATATTCTTACATATATTTGAAGGGAACTGTCTTGATTTCTTTTCTGTCTTACTTTCCTTTGAAAAGTGGAAAAAAGCTCCACAGTGGATAGCACAATATGTGCACATGCTATGGGTCAGCTCAATTCTGATTTTCTGTGTTTTTTTCTTGATATTAGTGATAGCCTTTCCTGTGTCTCTTCTGAAGCTAAATCTGCACTAGAAAAAGTTGGAAGCATAATTCACCACTGATGCAGCTTCACCATTGTTGTTGTTGTTGTTTGTTATGTGTATTACAATATCAGCTAAGGACATAAATCAAAAGCAGTTGTGCTAGATGACATGCACAAAGAAGGCAAATATCTTTCCCAAATAGCTTATGATCTCATGTCAGAAAGGACATAACAGGTGGCCACATTAGACAAATAGAGTGTATGTAGTTTGGAGGGTAAGACAACAGAATGAACAGTGTTAGTAGAAATATAGATGTCTCGCTGGGGTAAAAATGGTGTCAGTTTCAGGGCTAGTCTATCCTACTTCAGTAAGTTGATCTAACTTACGCAACTTCAATTAAGTGAAGCATGTAACTGAAGTCAATGTTGTTAGATCCACTTACCACGGTGACTACACTGCGCTGTGTCGACGGGAGAACGTCTCCTGTTAACTTCTCTTCCCCTTTTCAAGGCAGTAGAGTTCACAAATTGATGCTCTCACATCAGTTTAGTGTGTCTTCACTAGACCCGCTAAATTGACACTCACTATTTCAATTGCAGCAATGTCGTGCTACTGGTAAATGTAGACATACCCTCAGTATAGCCTGGGCTCAGACATTTTTACTACCAGCATTTCTGGTCTAATCCACTAGGGAAACAACAGTGGTAAATATGTCTGAGCCCTGTCTCTGCTTCAGCTTTCACCATTACTATTGCTGTTGGTGTTGAACTGTTGGTGAATTAGCTGCCTGATTTTTGACAGTGTAGGTGCACCTTTGGTGGGTCAAGAACATTACCTCAGACTGCTGTAGTAATATCTGTGATGTTCTCTACTTCCATGGATAGAAGGGTTAGTCATGTGTTTCACAGCCATGAAGGGCATTTAGCCAGGCGCATTATGAACTTTTTTTTACCTCCCTATGAACCCTTACCTCACTATGCAAAGAATTGGCCTTGGAAATTGGGGGAAAGTTGGTAAGAAGATTCTTTGGGACATGTCCCTAGCTTATTGGATACATTTTACACTGAAAGTGTGTATGTGATCTTTAGATTCCCCTCCCCCTAGTCCAGCCACCAGTTGCATTACTGTTCAATTTTAATATCTCTCATCATGGCAACTGAATCATTTGGGAGGAAATGGGATTCTTTTCCTCTCAGGAGCGTGACAGTGACACAGTTTACTTAATATTTCAGTTGCTTTTTACAGTCCATAACTAACTAATTCACACAGCACTCTGTGGATGGTATTGTTTTCATTTTACAGAGACGTGATGTTCCCAAGGCCCCATAGTAAGACCGTGGCAGTGCTGGGTTTAGAATTCAGGCATGCCTGGTTCTTCTTCAAGTGCTTGTTCACATTGATTCCAATCAGGTGTACCTGCATCGCATGCATGAACATCGGAAACTTTTCCCCCTAGCAGCTACCATAGAGTCAGCTGTGGAGACCCCTAGAGTGGCACCCCTATATTAATGCATATGTACCACTGACGACCCTACCCCTCCTTACCATCTGTGATGGTGTTGGAACCTTCTAGTTGTCTTGCCTTGGAGTGAAGGGACTTCTGTTCCTTCCAGAATCATCGTCATGGTTCCATGGCATTCCCTCTGGTCCCGCTGTGGCATCGAGCCCTAATAAAAGCACGCAAGGCCAACACACATCTAATTCGTTGGCGCTAGCATGGTCACAGTAACATTGGTTCTCCACTCTACTCAGTCGGTCAGTGGAGGCACCAATAGCCCTTCCCCTGTACCTGGACCTCCTAATTCAACATCGGGGCATCTCAGACCTGCACTTTCTCCATCTCATTGTATGGAAGCTAGATGGTTCAGTCCATGAGAGCTTCAGTGCTCAGCCCAGGTGCAGGAGGTTCTGTTGGGAAGCAGGAAGCTCTCCACTAGGGCAGTATACTTAGCCAAGTGGAGGAGGTTCACTTAGCGACTGTGTCCACTTTTCAACCAAGGATGCTCACAATGTTCCCTGTTCAGTTATCCAATGGTAACCCACTTTAGGAAAGGGTTAGACAGGTGGTAGCCATATTCTTGTTTACCTGTAACCACTTGGGATGTTAACTTGGTGCTCAATAAATTTATGGTACCATCCTTTGAATCAATGGCTGAGTGTTCATTGCTCCATCTTTCCATTAAGGTGGCCTTCCTGGTGGCCATCACCTTGGCGAGGAGAGTGTCTGAAATAAGAGCTTTTTCCTCAGAACACCCATATATGGTTTTCCATAAGGACAAGGTACAGCTCAAGCCATATCCGACCTTTTTGCCAAAGGTTGTCTCCCAGTTCCACCTGGGTCAAGATACCTTCCTCTCAGTTTTTTATCTGAAACAGCACTCTAGTGCTGGAAAAAGGGTGCTGCACGTGCTAGACGTGAAAAGGGCCATAGCTCTCCATATCGATCATATGAAACCATTCAGGAAATCCACTCAACTGTTTGTGGCCATAGCGGATGAAAGGGGATCTGGTCTCTCCATACTGTATATCGTCCTGGATAGTACAGTGCATATGCATCTCTTTAGATCTGGCCGGGGTCACACCCCACCAGTCACTGGTCACTCGACTGGAGTGCATACCTCTTCAACTGCATTTGTGGCACAAGTCCCCCTTCAGAAGATCTGTAGGGCAGCCCCATGGTCCTCTATACACACATTCATGGTCCACTACACCATCAATAGGTTTTCCAGGGAGGATACAGCTGTTGATAAGGCAGTGCTCCAATCTGTGATTCCCAACTCTGACCCCACCTCCATGGGGTAGCAGCTTGGGAATCACCTGATTGGAATCAACGTGAACAAGCACTCAAAGAAGAAAAGACACCATAACTGGTGTTCTTCGAGATGTATTGGTCACATCCATTCCAGTATCCACCCTTGCTGTTGGAGTAGCCAGCAAGAAGGACCTGAGGAGGAGTAGGGTTGGCTGTGGAATATATGAGCTGATATAGCGGCGCCACTCTAGGGGTCTTCACAGCTGACCCTATGGGAGCTGCTCAGGGAAGAAGTTTCCGATGCTCGTGCACACGGCACGCGTACACCTGATTGGAATGGACGCGAACAACACATCTCGAAGAACACCAGTTACATGAACAGGTAACTGCCTTTTCATGATACTACTTACATTTGTAGTTAGTCTTGAAGGTGCTGCAGGGCCATTCATTGTTTTTTAAAGTTTTTTCAGTTAGGGGATCAGTATTTATCCATACCATACCATAACATTTATAGTATTTATCCATAACATACTATGCCAGTCACCATTCTAGCTGAGATAACCCCATTTCAATAAAGGATCTGTGGTTATGTCTAGACTGCAGTCTTCTTTTGGAAGAAGCTTTTCCGGAAGAGATCTTCTGAAAAAACTTCTTTCAAAAGAGAGCGTTCACACTGCCGAAACTCATCAAAAAAGCGATTTTTGGCAGTGTAGGTCCACACTGAATGGAAGCTATTTCTCATTTAAACTGTGTTTATAATGGACTGAGTGGCCACCAGGGCACCTGTGCTTTTTCCTCTTTCCTCTTCTTGCAAAAGAACTATTTCTTCCCCATCCACACATGCCCTTTTCCGAAAGAGCTCTTTCGGAAAAAGGGTTCTTCCTCGTAGAAACAAGTTTACCAATGTCAGAAAAATGCCTAATTTTTTAAAAATGTTTTTCGAAAGAACACAATTGCAGTGTGGACATAAGTGAAGTTTTTTCAGAAAAATGGCCGTTTTTCCAAAAAAATTCTGCAGTGTAGACATACCCTGTGTCTTTACCAGAACACTCCTTAGGCCTCTCACCCATTGTTATGTTCCAGTCCTAATGTGGTTAGCCACATTGCATGGACAGTGTGTCCTGTCTCTGAAGTCGCCCTCTTTAATATTGGGTTTGGCCTTCTACTCAAACTGATTTATTTATTTTTCTTCTAAAATCATTTGTTTCCCAGAGGAGCACAGCACTCATTATCAAGTCCTGCATTTCCTCTAAGCTGTGAAAGACTGAAGGGATTTCAGGCAAAGGATGTCTGCTTTTTCCTGCTGTTCTTCATTACACATAGAGACTGGGCTGGCCTTGCCAAAGAGGCCCTGAACTTTGAAAACATTATGGGGAAAGCAAGGAAGGAGATAGCAGAGTGCGAGTGTACTGCAGGGTAGAACAGGTTTTCAGGTGAGATCCCTGTGACTTTTGATACCAGAAGCAATAAACCAGATGCTTATGGTTGCACTGGGGATGGGTGTGGAAAATGTGCATATGTCATTTGGCATTGCTGGAACAAGTCGCAGGTCATCGATTTTCAGTAGCGTTTAATTATTTCCCCACAGCAGCTGTCAACAGACGGAAAGTTCTCTCGAATGCTTTGCAGCTGCAGTCAGTCATTCTGTCCTCCTCATGCTCTGTCACTGGATGTGTTTGCAAAGTGGCCTGATCTTTTCTTTTCCTTTATTCCTGTCGTATGTTTTGTAATGTTTCTTTGGGTCATTAGCACAATATGTTCCCTCTCTCCCTCTCAGGGTATACCAGATATGTGATTAAAAAAAACGGTGGCACTGAGTTTCAGCACCTGAGACAGCTGATTCAGGCTTGTGAGTTCAGGCTGCAGGGTTGAAAATTGCAGTGTGGACATTTGGGGTATGGCTACTCTGCATTTAAACACCCGCAGCTGTGTTGGGTGTGCAGGTCTTGGGCTCCTGGGCTGTAAAATTGCAGTATAAACGTTTGGTCTCAGACGGGAGCTCGGGATCTGAGACCGCACCATGGGGTAGGATCCCAGTACATAGGCTTCAGCCCACGCCGGAATGTCTAAACTGCCGTATTGCAGCCCCATGAGTCCTAGTCAGCTGACACATGCCAGCCATGGGTGTATAATTGAAGAGCAGACATACTCTCAGGCTTGGGTAGGAGCCTGGGCTCCTCCATCCAAGTTCAAACCTTTACCCTGCAATTTTATAGTCTTGCAGCCTGAGCCTTGTGAACCCGAAGAAACTGTCTGAGGTCAACCCCAGAAGCGACATGGGTCTTTTATGGCAGTGTAGGTAAAGCTTTTCTTCACTGGTGTGGCATCATGTCACTGGCAACCAGTCATTGTAAAGGACATCAGGCAATGGGAGGAGACAGGAGGAAAGGGGAAACCTTGTGTTTGGAGATAGGGGAGTGTTAGTGGGTGACATTCTTATTCTCCAGTGTACTAGCCATTAGAGCAGTAGCTGAGAGTCACCCTGTACTCACCATGTGTGCGCTAGGGATATGAAAATGTGTTGTTTGTGTAAACTTGTACCGGCTGAAATTTCAGCAGGTACACACATTTACATGCATGGTTGGGGGAGGAGCCAACTCCCTGTGAGCACCGGCTCCTGCCTCCCTCCCACTGTGGGAGGCAGCAGTGGGGGAGGGAAGAACTGGCTCTGCAGAAGCTAGCATATTCAGGGAGCCTTCCTAAAAGCACCCTGTGTGCACTGGCTCCCACCTGTTCCCCTCCTGCTGCCTCTGATACAGAGGTAGAGAGGGGGCGGGACTGTGTTTAACTGAGAGGGTTAACTGATGAGCCCAGGCTAATTGGTTAACAGTGTACATGGTTACACGTTCCCATCCCACGTGTGTGCATGTGTAGGTATTGTACATTGCACAGCAGCTCAGATGGGGGATGGGTATGCCAGTGTCTTCTATGTTGCTAAACCCAAATTAAAACAGACCTTTTCAAGTCCCAGCCTGGAAGGCCCCATTTAAAAAAGAGTTGCTAAAACTAAAGATTATTATTAATATCATTAATAACAATAATAATAGTAATGATAATAATAATTATTATTATTATTTACAGAATAAGCATTTTCAACCAATTCTCCTCTTCCCAACCCCACATTCAGCTGTTTATGACCACTGCTTTTCAGGTGCAGTGTATGACCGTTTCCATAGCATTGTATGACTGGCACAGTGCCTTACTGAGTGTTTCTAGCATCTGTGGCAGATTATAGGTTTTATGTATATTAGCAAATCTACCCCAGCAGAAGACTAGACACAGAGAAAGCAAACAAGCTCCCAACCCTCATTGACAGCCAATGGGAGATGCACAACCCCCAGCTTGGGAAGCAGTGAGGTAGATGTGAGAGCTACCGCATTCTGCCCCATTACACCAGCAGTCACTGGGATAATGTTTTTTTTTTAATGTTTTTATTTTACAGGGTGTCCCTACTATAAGTATGCATCGGTTCTTCACTAATGTCATTGCTGCTTATAGGAACTGATGTGTTATAAGTCCTCCCATTCCCCACTCTTCCGTTGTGCAAAAAACAAACAAACTCTAAAACAAAACAAAAAACCCATTTCCAATTTGTGCAACTGGAAGCCAGCCATGGGAAAAAAATTCCTCACTTTACGTCATTTCGCTACACATCCACGTTTTTTGGAACATATCTTGGATGTACAGCGGTCCTGCCCTATATTGCAGAACCAGAGTATTACAGACAGAAAATGTCTCATCGCTATCCTCAGGGGTGTTCAATGTAAGCGATAAGGACATTGTCAAAGCATTGTAACACATGAAGAGAAAGCTTCTAAATAACCAGGCAAAGATTTCTAGCCTGTCCAGGGTTTTCATGGCAATGAACTGTGGGATGGCCTTTACCAAGGAACACAAAGGACTCAGGCTTTCTAAATCCACTGATGTGCACCCAACTTCCATAGGCTCCCGACAACATGTCAGCCTATATGTATACAGTTGAGAGTGTGTCTGTGAGTGTATGTGTAAAAGAAATTTCATGGCTATTGTGAAATACAGTAATACTGGAGGGCTGTGTCTAGACTGGCAAGTTTTTCCGCAAAATCAAATGATTTGGCGGAAAAACTTGCCAGTCTAGACACAGCCCTCCAGTATTACTGTATTTCACAATAGCCATGAAATTTCTTTTACACATACACTCACAGACACACTCTCAACTGTATACATATAGGCTGACATGTTGTCGGGAGCCTATGGAAGTTGGGTGCACATCAGTGGATTTAGAAAGCCTGAGTCCTTTGTGTTCCTTGGTAAAGGCCATCCCACAGTTCATTGCCATGAAAACCCTGGACAGGCTAGAAATCTTTGCCTGGTTATTTAGAAGCTTTCTCTTCATGTGTTACAATGCTTTGACAATGTCCTTATCGCTTACATTGAACACCCCTGAGGATAGCGATGAGACATTTTCTGTCTGTAATACTCTGGTTCTGCAATATAGGGCAGGACCGCTGTACATCCAAGATATGTTCCAAAAAACGTGGATGTGTAGCGAAATGACGTAAAGTGAGGAATTTTTTTCCCATGTCTGTTATGAAGAGACTGTACTCATTTGCTCTCCGTGTCCACTGGAGGAAGTACAAAAAATTATGGGCTTAATCTGCAGGAGGGGATATATAGGTCTAATGTTAGAAAATTCTTCTATCAGGGTAGTTAAGCTCTGGAATAAGCTTCCAAGGAAGGTTGTGGAACAGGTTGGACAAACTCCTCTGACAGATGGTCTAGGCTTGATTGGTCCTGCCTCACTGCAGGGGTGGATCTGATGACCTCTCAAGGTCCCTTCTAAACCAATATTTCTGTGATTT